CTCTTCCCCTGCACAACCCTCTAAAAGCTCCCACTTAAAAAAACGCATTATCCTTCCATGGCTTTCAAGACCCCGAATGTCCTGGCTCTGTAGTCCTTTCTGTCCTCAGGCCGTGTCTGCGCTACCCCGGGGCACTTGCACTTGCCTCTGGGCTCCTGGGGGGACCTTCCCTATGACCTCCCCTCAGGGCTCCTGACATTACATGCGGGGCTTCCTTCTACACTCTCCCCACCCCCGCTTCACTGACCATATTCCACAGGTTCACTTCCTTCACAGCACTTATCAGAATCTGATGTAAGTCCATTACCTCCACTACATGTTTGTGTTTTCTCCGTCTGGCTCCACTGTGAACAGGATGTAAATGCGCAGAACAGGAATCTTAGTTCTCTTGCTCACTAATACATCTCTGGAGGCTAGAACACTGCCTGGCATAGACAGCGCAGTCAGTAAACATTTGTGAATGAATGAACATTATCACTCAAAACTATTTGCTTTTCAGTATTCTTGAAGTTTTAACCAAGTTAAAACGTGAGAGAAAATGTGAAATTCTTTCACATTTTCTATAGCATCTCTAAAGCAAAATGTTAGGCCCTAAAAATGTATAAAATAACATGGAACTGAATCAAGAGGGTTGACTGAAGTAGGCCAATCCATAAACTGCATGAAGAAGATCTCTAGATCAAATTCTGGGGCTCTAATTCCGTGTGGATGCAGATAAATAAAGGGGGATGCTCTCAGGGAAGGGAGCAAAATTAGGGGTGGGAAGAGGACCTGTCATGAGCTTATTCCTATTGTGTCTCAAAGGGCAACTGTCCTCAACAGAACTGTTGGTGAGAAATCCTCCTAGCAGCAACTTTCTGGCAACCAGCAGAGAGGCTAATTATCAGAAACTGCTCTCCCTACACAAAGTGCATTCCTCCCCCTTCCCCCACTAATGCCTCAGTTTGCATAACTCCCTGCACTGTTAGCTATTCTGAGCTTTGAAGAAAATCCTCAATTATGCATACAATAAATGCACATTTCTACTGTTGAACTGCCATTTAGGTATCTGGAAGAATGTTTCCTACTTGTTTTGCGTTAGGTTCGGCATGGAAGTAGAAAGGTAGCACAGAGCCAATGAATAAAGTGAGAAAATGCAACCGCACAACCTTGCAAAAGAAATTCCCCACTCTGAGAGAATTATTTCATACCATATTAAGGGACTGCATTTATTTTGCTTGTCACTCTCTATGCCATAGCCGGCTGCCCCCCAAAATGACAAGGCCGGGAGGGGTTTCTAGTCTCTCTAACACAAGAATGGAGGAAGTAGGAGGTAAGAAACAGCTAGTTCAGTAATTTTTTTAAAAAGGAGGAAAAGGGTTATTCTATTCTTTTCAGTTTACTCCATTTCCATATTTATTGACTGATAAGACTTTATTTCTGAGCTTTAAGGGAAGAAAATGCAGTCAACTTGGGAACAGTTTTAATCCAAAAGCAAGTGTTAGGCACAGCTAGTGTCTGCCTCTGTCTGTCCCATAATTCTTCTAATTCCTAGTTGCAAACTGATGTGTCTCCTAGAACACAGCGCAATAAAGCTCTTAGCTCACAACTGTCCCCAGGTTCTGTACCTGTAATAACACACCTTTCAAAAAGGAAAAGGGAGGGAAATTTTAATTACCCAATTTTTCTCATAGAAGAGAAAGATCTACCGAGCAGTGGTTAGCTGCAATGTCATGAATGGATAGATGGACAGACAGACAGACAGACGACTGATAGATGGATGGATAGATAGATGATAGCTAGATAGACAGACAGATAGATAGATAGATACATAGATAGATGAGTTGATCTTAAGAAGGAAGCTTCACAAGTCACAGTACATCCCAGGGAATCTTCTTTCACATGAGAAGTATCAGGAAGATCTCATAATATTTTATGTGGTTTATTTTCCTAATACTGAAGGGAGACCACAGTTGTGATGGGTAAAGAACAGGAAGATGAAAAACAGGCGCATATGGACGTTTTGTTATTTACTATCACTTCTTGATCTCAGCCAGGGCTCACTTCCATCATCTTTAAACCCCTCTTTCAGTCGCACACACACAGAGGAGAAGGAGTGCGGTCAGAAGCAGGGCACAGATGTAACCAACCTACAAGGATGAGACCTGTACCCTGCCTCCTACACTCCCAGCTCCACACAGGGAGCCAAGTAGACTCCACTTTCCTCATGAAAAAGTCTGCCCATTACAACCCCCAGGGTCGCACACGTACCACATACATGAGAAAGATGAGCAATACTCTGGTTTGGAAGCAACAACCCAGCTGTGCTGTTACCTGTTATGAGTTATCAAACAGCTTGAGAATGACTGTTCTGAAGTATTAACCCTCTTGGTGAGTGGGAGCTGGGGAGGAGGCAGACGGTGCTGCTTCGTGTCAACAGTTAGTACCTGGATGAGCCATGAACGCACAGGAATAGTGCTCCAAGGCCCGCATAAACCTGCTGCCTCCTGGGAACAAAGCTCCTGCCCTCAGAGCTGCTTCTGAGTCAGAAATACCGACTCAGAGCCACTTAAAAACCATCACTGGTTGAAGCAGGCTAGAAAACTGCCAAGAGTGGCCATCGGTTAAGAAAAGGAGGTTTGGCAAGTATACTTAAGAATACCCTAGTCGTAAAGGAAACAGATGTGCTAAGCTGTTGAGTGGCAGGGGCAGGAAGGCCTGCATCCCATGCGGGTCTTTAAATTACAGGGTGATAGGTAAACACATCAGAGCTGCTGTTCCCACTGCAATCCGCCTCACAGCCATTGAGTTCTGTGAATTCTCCTACTTACATCAAACGGAGCTGAGCTGGACTGGGCATCCTGACCACACGGCTCCCTGAAGCAGTCACCGAAAGGAAGAAGGAGACCCATGGCTATGATCCGCGAGCAGAACTTCTCTGCTTCTTCTGGAGGCCCGTTCTCCTGCCTGTTGAACAGCTTCTCCAGCAGAGTCCGCCCTGCAGGGGAGACACGGTCGTTAAGCGGGTGCACTGGCGGGTCCCCCGGCTCAGACTCCCGGAGGAGAGGCCGACAAACACAGCTGGGGTAGCACTGTTGCCAAGGCTTTGCCGTGCACAGGGAATACTCTGCAGGTGGGCCTGGGTACCACACGGGAAAGGACAGATCTGGGTCGCTCTCCCATCCCCAGAATACCTCCTGCCTCCAAAGAGAATGGGACACGTGATGGGACCTACATCCTCTTCCATCTGAGGAAGACCCAGCCTTTGGGGTTTCACTGGAAATCCTCCTTCCACTCTTTGTCAACCGGCCGGTGGCTCTCTGAGGAGGCAGCCAGTAGTCACCATCTGGGCTCAGAAATGTCAGTGGCTGCCTCACAGTCTGAGGGGTGGCTGTCGGGGGGCAGGAACGGGGTGGGCAGGGAGGCAGGCAACAGCCACTGGAAGGGGACAGGGCTCGCCCGCAGAAAATGCCTCCCTGAAGAGGAGAGTGACAGAAACTCAACATCTTCTCACATGAGCCTCAGAAACATCGCTCTAGGGTAGGTCTACACTTGAGGTTTCCATTACTTCCCGAAGAGAGACAAGAGAAGAGAGGCACGTGGAGACGAGAGCGCTGGCTGCGGCCCAGGCCCACCTGGTCCCGTGGCTCTGAGTCCCGGCCGCGGGGAGAGCAGAGCGATGAGGGGGTAACCCGGCGTCTGCTCTCACTGGTCACCCAGAGCCGAGAGCCGCAGGCCAGCCCCTCATCTGTCTGACTCTCAACTCACTATCCTTCAGAGAGTGGTTTTGCTGGCTTCCGCACTAATCATCTACAGTGGAGGAAACAGGAAGTCTCCAGGGTCACTTAGTTCCTGCTGCTCCGGCCCTCCCTCCATCAGCAGGTTCAGTCTTCAAATTTAGAGTAAAGTCCCGTATCCAGAAAAGCTCCCAGTGACCCCCTTCTGCACTCTCCAGGCTCCCTTCAGAGCTCCTTTGTGTCATTAATTACTTTAGTTAATTATTTCTTTAATGTCTACCCCCCTCACTATAACATGAACTCTCTGACAGCCAGCATACATCCTGCAGACCTGTCCACTCGCACAGAAGAACGAATGAACACTTTCAGGAATTCTGAATGAATACAATGTTATGATTCTGTGATAAAGACTCATTCACATCATGGTCAGAACTGGAAATGAAATATTGGTCTAGACCAGGGGTCAGCAAACTTTCGCTGCAAAGGACCAAATAGAAAATATTTTAGGCTTTAAGGGCCAACTAAGGTCTCTGCTACACATTCTTCCTTGGTTTGGCTTGGTTTGGCTTGGTTTTGAACAACTTTTAAAATGTAAAAAGCATCCTCAGCTTGGGGCTGTGCAGGGCCAGCCCTCACTCTACACATCAGTCACATCTAAATTTCAAACGTATACATGTTCAGTTCTGCAGGATGGTTTCCATGCAATTTTAGTGCCTCTTCCTACGTTTGTAAAATAAAACTAAATTCAAAATCTACCTCTCAGGGCTTCCCTGGTGGCGCAGTGGTTGAGAGTCCGCCTGCCGATGCAGGGGACACGGGTTCGTGCCCCAGTCCGGGAAGATCCCACATGCCACGGAGCGGCTGGGCCCGTGAGCCATGGCCGC